AAGGGATGGAAAAAAAAGAAAATCTACAACCTCCTAAAGAGAAATTTTTTTTCTCCCCCCCTCTCTCTCTCTCTTTTTTTTTTTTTTTTTAAAGGTAATCAAATATTTTATTAATAAATGCACAATACACAGGAAGTGTATTATCAATTTAGAGCAGAAAGGAATAACATAAAATTGGGCAGCCCATCTATATGTCTAGTAGCTGTAGCATTAAATCACGTATACAATGTGAAATAAAACAATTTTCTAATTTGCTCTGCTATCTGTGTTTGATCATCAAAGCAGCAGTTGTTTCTTTCTCTCCACATACACTATACAATGCAACCCGAAATAAGGTCCCATGTAAACTTGCAATCCTTGTCGTGAAATTTTCTCCTCCATGCCTTTAACATATCTTCCATATGCCTCGACATCACCCAATCCATGTGTTGTGATGCCAGAATATTGTGCCACAGTAAACGAGCTGCATCACAATGGAGAAACAAGTGATCAATCGTCTCCCCGTCCCTCCGATACATATAACACCATTCCGTAACATAAAAACCTCTTTTTCGTAGATTATTCACCATTAACACGTCCCATGACCACCATCCAAAGTAAGAATGCTACCTGTGGATGCAATTTACATTTCCACATCATTTGCCATGGGAATAAACTCTGCACAGGACCCAATAAAGATCTAAAATAAGTGCCAATTGAGAAAATCTCATTCCGTGTCAATCTCCACCTGCTACAATCTGCTTCTCTTGCCCTGATGTGGACCTCGTACAAAGAAGTTAAAAACAGTTCATAGTCGTCCAATTCCCAATCCTGTAATCCCCGGCCAAATATAATATTCCAATTGAGCCTCTCATTATGTATATCTAAGACATCATTCACCGTAGCAGATGGTGCCAACACAATATGATATATAGAGGGAAATTTCACCTTCAGCGGTTGTTCTCTACACCAAAAAAATCCCAAAAACTGATGGTAGTATCATCCCCCACTACAAAAGTCAATCTATCCTGAAATCGAGAATCACAATTCTTATGGGGTGAGCTTATGGCGATACCCCATAAGAATTGTGATTCTCGATTGAGCACCACCTCCCTCCATGACATTACATTTCCACACCATTTTCTAGTGGAATGAACTCTGCACTGGACCCAATAAAGATCTAAAATAAGTGCCAATTGAGAAAATCCCATCCCGTATCAATGTCCACCTATTACAGTCTGCCTCTCCTGCCCTGATGTGGACCTCGAACAAAGAAGTAAAAAACAACTCATTATCGTCTAATTCCCAATCGTGTAATCCCCGACCAAAAACAATATTCCAACTAAGCCTCCCATTATGTATATCTAAGACATCATTCACCGTAGCAGACGATGTTAACACAATACGATATAAAGAGGGAAATTTCACCTTCAGCGGTTGTTTTCCACACCAACAATCATCCTAAAAACTGATGGTAGTACCATCCCCTACTAGAAAAGTCAATCTATCCTGAAATCGCTCCACCCTCGCCGGATATATCGCCATAAGCTTACCCCATAAGAATCGTGATTCTCAACTGAGCACCATCCACCCTCCATGACATCATATTTTGCCTCTATTATTTCTTTCCAAAAACTCTTTCTCTCCACATCGAATCGCCATAATCACTTGCCCAACAAGGCCTTATTGAACAGTACGATGCTCCTCAATCCAAAACCCCCTAACCTTATGGGAGAATAAACTATACCCCAATTAACCAAATGTAATTTTCTCTCCTCCCCTAATCCTCCCCAAAGAAACTTCCTTTGGATTCTCTCTAACCTTTTTACCACTACAACAGGGATAGGAAACAATGATAAGAAATAAGTAGGGTGATTCGACAATGTGGACTTTATAAGAGTAAGATGACCGTCCTTTGAGAGGTACATACGCTTCCAACCTGCTAGCCTTCTCTCCATCTTTTCTATAATACTGTTTCAAATATGGTTACTCTTAAACCGTACTCTCAAAGGAAGTCGAAGTTAAGTCATTGGCAATTGTGCAACCCTAGAACCTAATATAGTAGCCAACTTCTCCATATTATCGACCTCTCCCACTGTGATAGCCTCAGATTTCCCCAAATTTATTTTCAATCCAGATACGACTTCAAAGCACAAGAACACACGACGTAGGTTCCTGAATTGCTGAACATCTGCATCACAGAAGATCAATGTATCGTCTGCAAATAGCAAATGAGATATTTGCAACTGATTAACCATAAAGCCCCTTAACAAACCTTCTCCGACAGCCTTCTCAAGCATCCTGTTGAAAACCTCCATTACAATGACAAGTAGCAATGGAGACAAAGGATCCCCTTGTCTCAATCTCCTGCTACTACGAAAATAACCCTCAGGGGTGCCGTTCACCATAATTGAAAAGGAAACTGTACGTAGATATGCAAAACTGAATCCAATGACACTACTTATTCCCGAAGCCACATCGCCTAATCATATACAAGAGAAATCCCCAATTTACGTGGTCATAAGCATTCCTGGGACTGGTAGGCATAATTTTGAGTCAATACATTCATTTGCTATAAGTACAGAATCTAAGATTTGGTGCCCTTTGATAAAGGCATTTTAAAACTTAGACACCACTTTCCCCATTACCTCTTTTAATCGATTTGCCAAAATCTTTGCAATAATCTTGTACGCCTCACTCACTAAGCTAATAGGACGAAAGTTCTAATATCTGTTGCTCCCAGTTTCTTAGGAATCAACACAATAAAAGTGGCATTGGCGCTTCTCAAGAACCTTCCGCGTTGGAAAAAATAAGAACATCCACAATGTCTTATTGCACCACTTCCCAAAAGGCCTTATAGAAAGAGAGAGAGAATTCGTCCCGTCCTCAGGCCACCATCTCTTTAATTTCATCCTCCCAAAATGGTCTCTCTAACCAATTGGCATCCTCCTCAATAATAGTAGAAAGATCTAGCCCCAACTCTGGTCTCCAATCAAACTGCTCCTGATAGAGATTCTAATAAAAGCTTACCATCTGGGTCCCGATATCATGTGGATCTTCATAAGTAACCCCATATACCTCCAACATAGTGATAGAGTTGTTGCGCCTGTTGGAATTAGCAACCCTATGGAAAAATTGGGTGTATTTGTCTCCCTCTTTCAACCCCCTGACCCTAGATTTTTGACGCCAAGCAGTGTCCTCTATCTCCAACAATCTCTCCAATTCTTCCCTTAATTCTCCTATTCTCATCCTCTCATCCCCTATCAATCCTCGACTTTCCTCCCTTCTATCCAACTCTTCTGTCTGATAGGCATAGATTTTTGCGATAGTTAACGTCTCCCACCACCTCCTCATTCCACTTTTTTAGATCTCTTTTCAAGGCCTTCAATTTCCGATTCAGCACATAACTGAGAGATCCCCTGAAGTCATATAAATGCCCACCAAGTCCGTACTTGTTCCCCAAAACCTTTTACTTTAAGCCACATTTTCTTGAACCTAAACGGCTTTCTTCCACCACGCCTCACATTCCCAAACAATGCGATAGGGAAATGATTTGAATACAATCTCCCGAATCTCCTCTGAGTGACTTCTGGGTACTTAACCTCCCACTCCCCACATATCAGAAATCGATCTATTCGGGATAGGACAGGTTGTTCTCGATTCGATGACCAAGTAAAGTCTCCTCCACTCAGAGGCAGGTCCACCAACATGTTCTCCCTGATAAAGTCTGAAAAGTCCTCCATAGCCCCTATTAATCTCCCCCACTCAAACTTTCAGTAGGAAACCTAACCACATTAAAATCTCCCCCAATACACGTAGGAATGTTCCGCCACATCATCATCCCCGTCAATTCACCTCTATGCTCATCAACATTAGGCTCGTAGACTCCTATAAACATCCAATGAAAATTATCCTCGATATTTCTGAATGAGAGTGATAAAGAAAATAGCCCTTTACTAACTTCATCCATATTAAGAAGTCTGGTGTCCCACATTACTAGCATTCCTCTTGAAGCCCCTGATGACCCTACAAACTGATACCCAACATGCTTTCTCCTCCATATGCTATTCACAATGTCCCTCGAAACGATCTCCAACATTGTTTTTTATAAACATACAAGATCAGCCCTCCATCCCCTTAATAGATTCTAAACCCCTAACCTTTTCCCAGCCATATGAACGTGTTTGGGAATGACTTATTTCTTGCTTGGCCTTTTTTCAAAAAAGAAAAAGAAAAAGGGGGATAGTGGAGGACGCTTTCAATTTATTGAAGCTAACTTTATAAAACAATTGACTTTTATAGCTGGAGAATATTATTTTTAGAACATCCAAAATTATTATATTGAATTATCCGATAAAAAGGAAAATTAATCTAATCATGGTCCATCAAATAATCCTAGAAATTTTAGAAATAAATAAACAAAAAATGAAGTCTACATGCTAAAAATATGGAAAAATAAACTAAATTCAAAGTATTCTTATCATTTTACTGCATCGCTTCCAGATTGACATGCACCTGCATGTTTCACATGAATTTGTTTCTTTGTTCAAAGAGAACGCAGCTCCAAAAAGGTGCTCCTGAGGCCTTTTGATTTCTATCATCTATATGTTTTAATATGCCTTTTAAACTTGTACTAGTGGGTTGCTGTTTATGTGAATATTAATTTAGATTGCGTTTTAGTGCTGAATCCTGATGGCCATATATTTCTACCATAAAAACATGGATGCTGCCTCCATTTCATTGTTGTTTCATATTCTGTATCTGTTATTTGTTTTTTGAATCATAAATAGAAGACATGAAGCATGAAAAGCGGATCTACCACTGTAAAATATACGATCACAGTTTTTATTCTTGCGATTTGTGAAGTATTTTAATCCTGGAAAGATTTCATCTACTGTCATGATTACAGATATGTCCGCATTTAAGGCAGCTAACCCAGAAGCCGTGTTTGAAGATTTTATTAGATGGCATTCACCCAAAGATTGGGAAGATGATCACAGTGAGACTGGAGCCTCTCAAACTAGTACAGCAAAGGGGTCAAAGAATGAGTGGCCTCCTCGAGGAAGACTGTCCAAAAGAATGTCTGAGTATGGGAGTTCGTGGAGAAAAATTTGGAATGAGGCCCCAGCTTTGGAAGTTTCTAAACAGAAGCCACTTCTAGATCCCAATCGAGAAGGGGAAAAGGTAAATCTTTTATTTGTGGAATTCTTATATTCATTCTGAACTTCTATCGAACTCTCTTTTACTGTTTTGGTGGATAGAATAGTTTTAGATTTGGAGGATTATTCTTTGTGGGTAGTTGCAACGATGTACCGGTAGTTGCAAGATGTACGAGAGATTATCTTGCACCTATGATATCAAGCGAGCATCATGTAATGGACAGCCTTCGCAGTCCCTGGGACGGCACATGTATAGATAATAGACACGCAACACTTTAGGACGCTGCTACTGTACTTGCATATGATAGTGCACTTTCGTGTAATTTAGGCCATAAGCTAGTTGTTAGTAATCTTGCCGCATTACATGGATAGGGGAGTTCGCCATGCTCGTGACAAACTCCCCTACTCAATCTGCTAACCCCTCGTAGTGGACCATGTGCTTCACTTCTTAGAACCTCTGCATTGCATTCTCCTCCACGATGATGGGTAAGAAAAATTCTCCACAATTGCGGCAACACCACCTAATGGACGGGCATCCAAACGGTGACCCTCGTACATATGCCGGTAGCATTGCGGTCCCAAAATTGTTACCGCTGGAATGCTCACCGTTGATCTCCAGCAAAAAACAATGCGATGCTCAAGCTGGCCCACTATGATACCTCGTGTAACTACCCTGGGGCAGCCTTCCCTTAACACAGGTTGGCGAGCATATAGATAATAGACACAACGCTTCAAGGGTAGGATGCTACAACTATACCTATATATGATGAAACTGTTAGTGCACTTTAGAGTAAATTAGGCCATAAACCAGCTCTTAGGAATCTTTCGTATCGCATAGTTAGGGGAGCTCACTATGCACGTGACAAACTTGATTCATAGAAATTGACCATGGAAAGGAACACAACTAAACAAAACTATTCCGTGAAACTGCTGAATGTAAAACGTTATAATTTAAGTGTATATAATAAAGGCCAAAACGAAATAAAACTATTCTATGAAACTGCCAAAACCCGAAAGTAAAGCAACTGATTCAGTAGCACGTGCTGTGATAAAGGCCAGTGTCATTATGTTAATAAGAAATGGCCTGGCCTGGCAGCATGTTAATGAATTGGTCGACTACAGGAACGAGACTTCACAATTTCAGGGACTTGGGGAATGGAAAGAAAATCAGGAAGACTCAACTGTCATTTGGAAAGATTGTAGCTATGTTGAAAAGACAATTATTTCAGTTGCAAGCATATCTAGTGGGATTAATCGATGACAGGTTTACCCGATAATGTAGTTGTAATTGATCTGCACGAAGAATATATGGCCTTGTGGGAGTGACACTTTGGAAATTCCAACAATTTGGTTAATTGCATTTTTTTTTCTCTTAACCAGAAACAAGAGATACATGGAAACTCTTTAGCAATGGCCTGAGTAATTTACTTGAGCAGTCACATTGCACCAACTACCATGTTTTCTACATTGCACCCATTACCATGCTTGCTTGGAAGCTGGAATTGCCCCAAGAGACAGCCTGCTTACTATAGCATGAAAGTTTCTTTCTTGTTTTCTTAGTCTCTTGGTATTGGAAAAACTACTTCCTTTTGCAAGTTAAATTAAATGTGTAACTGGTCATCATGTGCTTAGGACTAGCAGGCTTTTCGAAGTTTGTTTTTATTCAAATAAATAGGAAAGCTTTCAGAGGTAAAATGTCTATTATTGACGGGATGATGAAAATCTTTATTATTTCATTGGGTACTTTGCTTCTTATTCTTACCCCTTTTTATTTCCTTTTTTATAGTTGAGTCATTTATAGGAGGGCAATATGTTTTATTATCCCTCACTCAGAACTTTAACCATCACATCATTTTGAGTTAGGTTCTTCATTATCTGGAAACCCTGCGACCGCATCAACTGCTGGAACAAATGGTTTGTACTGCCTTCAGAGCGGCAGCTGACACGCTTAATCAGACATCATTTGGTGACTTGAACCAGATGACAACTAAAATTGGGCAACTTTACCTCACAATGTCATCTACCTTGAAATATGTGCAATGTACATTTGCTTCTCTGGTATCTTTGATTTCTCTAAGAACAGTGCTGTCTAGGATATATTAATTTTGGAATATGCTATTTGTACATAATGCGGTGTAACCCACTTTGGATAAATTATATTTTATTCGAAGTGGGTCTCCCTCCATGTGAGGAGGGTGGACACCGTTATGGACACCCTGATGTACGTGTAGCATAACTCTTAATTTTTTGTTTATATTTGCAGCACATAGTAGATCTGGTGATAGTGATATTATTGAAGATGTTAGACGGCTTTGTGTTATTTTTGGACATGTTGAGAAGTTGCTCACAATAGCAGCTTCTCTTCATCGCAAGTTTTTGCGAGCACCATTACTCGCAGAAGCAATTTTCAGGGATTACCATGATTACTACCAAAAAAATATGGGAAATGGCACCGTGCAAGGTGATTCCAAGAAGGTGAGCTGTTATCGTGCCATGTTTTCTCTTCAAAAATATCGATATATCTCAATTAAGTCCCCTGCTGTTCCTAGCTCTAGGTTTCATATTATATATCTCAAATGTGCCTTTTGTTCATCATTTTTTGGTTTGACAAGCGTAAATTTACTACTTAGTTGTTACTAATTAAACAAAACTGAATCCGCCTTTTGATTTCAATTTCTTTTCCTTTGGAGGAGATCAAATCTTCGCTCAAGACAAGTTGACTATCACGATGTTCTTTGTGGTATCCATTTTTGGTGCTCGAGATACTATTTGTTGGATGATTATATACCTCCTATTGACTTGTTTTTCCTCTATTTTCGTTTCTTTTCCTAGGAGTTCAAGAAAAAGCATGAAATAAGGGCACGTGAGAGAGACATGGTTGCTACCATGTTTACTCCACCAA